CGGCTGCGGACCGGCGCGGGAGAGGGGCCAGCAAGCGCCCAGGACCCTGGTTCGGAGCTGTAAACCCGGGGAACACGGCTGTGGGGCTGGAAGGACTGAGGCTGGGGTGGGGCTGAGTTGTGGGGAGCTTTTGCCAGGCCTGTGGGTTCTCAGGTTGAAGAGGCGTGGGGCTTGCTCAGCAGCTGTCTGGTCACTCGGCGCTGCGGCAATTCCTCCGGCCCAGCCCTCAGAGAGGAAGCCAAGGCCGGGCGCTGGGCCGGTGAGGCTGTCTGGGAGTAGCCCCAGCCAGGTAGGCAGGGGACTGTGTAGCCACACGGGAGAGAGACGTGGTGCATGGAGGGGGAAAGCAGGTGCAGGTACCTCAAACTGCAATGCTCCCTTTCCAGGGGCTGGTTTGTCTCCGCTGCTGCCATCCCCTTCTCACCGGCTCTCAGCTGCACCTTGGTCCGTCATGCTCATTAGCTAAAACAACAGCATAGGCCTGACGTATCACATAAGTGGTAACCATGGCACCAGCTGAGAGCTTCAGATATCCAGGCTCCCCTGGGTAGTAAGGCAGCCTTGCTGGGGAAACCGAGGCAGGAGTGGCCCCTAAAACACCGCGATTCAGGGACAGCTCTCTGCATCCACAGCCACATGCTCCCCCAGGCCAGGGAAAATCCGAAACAACCTCCCTTTGCCCCTAACCCTACCTCTCTCCACTCTTCCTCCTAGATGAACTGGCCCAGGAGAAAAGAAGGCTGGACGGCAGGTGCAGTCAATAGAAGTCTGCATCTTCCTCTCTGCACCCTAACATCGTTGGGGCCTTTCCACCATCTCCAGGCAAAGAGTCCCACAGCTTGATTGAAGAAATAATTTCATTTAAATCTGCTGCCTATACAATTTCAGTGGATCGGCTTCTTGTGTTATGTTAGTGAAGGAGTAAATAATGTTTCCTGATTCTATTCTTCCACACCATTCATGATATGCTAGACCCCTAACATATCCCCCCAGATTTCAACTTGGAAAAGAAATGACTGACAAGTCCCTCTCTTGTTAATCTCGCCTCATATGGAAGCTGTTCCAAACCCCTAATCATTTCTGTTGTCTTGGATGTTCCTTTTCCAAATCCAAGATAGCTTTATTTAGATGGGGTGACCAGATCTGCATACAGCATTGAAGTTGTGGCCTTACCGTGACTTTAT